AAATTAGAAAATTGATGGCAAGGAAATTTAGGAAAGTGGTAGCTGGACAGACTTCTCTGAACAGGCAAAAATGTGAAAAATATCTGTGTGCCATGTGAATGCTCCCCAAAGGGTGACCTCAATTGAAGAAGATTTTAATAATCAAGTGGATAGGACAACCCAGGCTGTGGATAGCAGTCAGCCTCTGTCCTCAGCTATGCCATCGTCCAGCGAGCTCACGAACAAAGTGGCCCTGGTGGTAGAAATGAACTTTAGGCATGGGTTCAGTATCACTGACTTCCATTCACCAGGGAGACTCGGCCACAGCCACATCTGAGCACCCAGTCTGTGCAGCAGGGGCCAATGCTGAGTCCTCAAGATGGCACCGTTCCCCAAGGTGATCAGCCAGCTACATGGTGGCAGGTTGATTACATTATACAATTTCCATCATAGAAGGTGCCGTGTCCTGTTCTTACCAGAATAGGTACTTACTCAAATAGGATAAAAATTTGCCTTTCCTGCACGCAGTGCTTCTGCCAAAACTACCTACTACCCACGGACTTCCGTAATGCTTATCTACAGTCATGGCATTCCTCACCACGTTGCTTCTGATCAAGGAACTCACTTCACAGCAAGTGAGGTGCAGTGGGCCCAGGCTCATGGAATTTACTGCATCTTGAAGTAGTTGACTGGAGATAATGGTTAAAAGGTTTTTGGAGACTCATTTCAACACTGGTTAGGTGGCAATACCTTGCGGGGCTGGGGAGAAGTTTTCCAGAAGCATCCAGTATATGGTGTATTATTTTCTCCCAGAGCCAGGATTCACAGGTCTAGGAGCCCAGGGGTGGGAATGAGAATGGCACAACTCACTATTACTGCTAGTCACCCACTCGGAAGATTTCTGCTTCCTGTTTCTCGGCGATCTTAGGCTATGCTACTCTATGGGTCTTCTTTCCATTAGAAGGAATGCTTCCACTAAAAGACAACAACGATTCCACTGAACTGGAAGTTAAAACTGTCACCCACCCATGTCGGGCTCCTCATGTCTCTGAACCAACAAGGAAAGGAGTTATAGTGCTGGCTGGGGTAACTGATCCTAACTAACACAATGACCTATGCAGCAGGAAGGGAACAATTCTAAACATGCCTTTTAGGAGACTTATGAGACTGGTGGTATGCAGTTGGTCCTACAAGGTCTGATTTTGCTACATATATCCCTTTAGCAGCAGAGTATTGGATTTTAGAAAGAAAGCACTTCTTATCAAGCCTCATATCACTGGTATGAATGAAACAGAAAAGTGAGCTATCTGACGAGTCTCTGAGTGCTTTTCAGAGGTTTTGATATGCCACACCTTCTAGACATGGATGATAAAAGGCTTGTCTACCCAGATCCAGAAGCCTATTCACAATGCCTTCCGGAAATTTTAATAGTTCCTTTGTATGCATGTTACATACAAAACACAAAGTAAGTACCTCTATAACAATCAAGTTTAAGCCATGATTAGAATGATTAATTAGTTCATTCAACAAATATTTAAGAACGCCTAAGAAGTACAATATACATTATTGGGTCCAATCTTGACATTTCCTTCATTCCTCAGCTAATATTTGACATGCATTTGGAACATCAGCATCAGAATGTGCTAATGGCTGAGAACAGATATTTGCTTCCACTGCATTAGTCCTTATGTGCACTAGCGAGTTATGGTGAAAAGATGGTCTAATAGCAGCATTTACTAATGCCAAACTTAAATTCAAACACGAGTAAGTATAAATAATCCAACCCAATATTATCACAACTTAACCAACCAGAAAAATAGAGCAACAGTTTATAAGAATAACATAATGTTGACTTACCTTTGAAGAGAAAAAACATTTTAAAGTTCCCTTACCTCTGGTTTGTACCCCCTTTCTGCAGGCATTGCTGGTGCCCATTATCCCCTGCCTGACCGACTTGGGCTCTAAGATACTGGAGCTCCATTTCTGTGGCTTCCACCTGTGATTACAAAGAACAGCAGACTAGACATTTCACCAGGGCAAACATATCAAAGAAAGACTTGAAACAGATGAACTGGAAATCCGAAAGCATAAAGAGTGAACTTCAATAAAGATGGAATTGAAACCAAATCTATAAAAATGGACACAAAAGGAAGTGCTGGCACACACTAGGGATGGCAGTAGGACCCTCTGCCCCAGATCCATGGTTGATGCAATCAATACTTTTTTTTTAATGTGGATATTTTGCACACACATCTTAGTTTACGTAGCAAAGTGATCATAAAAAACATTTGACACACAGATCAAATCTAGAGGGCTTAGCTCTTTATGAACTTAACACTGTCTAAAGAAAAACAATAAAAGAAAATAAAAGAGAGAAAATCCCTATGTCTCACTGGAGCA